CAAACCTCATTTTATAAAAGAAAAGATGTAATGTGGAACTACACTCCAGCAATGATGATAAGCAAAGAGATCCTTGCATTTCCATCTCAGCAGTTGCTCAAGTGGCAAATTGCATTGTATCCTGTTACAGCTTTCACAGGGCCACATCCTAAGACATTTCAGTAAAGGGTTTGTGACTTCAGCAAAAGAGTAGGATGGAACTGTACTCTGAGAGAAAAGGACTCTGGGTCTACTAGCAAATTAACTGCTAAGTTAAGAGCTGAGAAAAATCAAGGAACAGTGTGAGGAATTATCTAAGAATGACAGAAAAAAACAACTATTGAACAGCAATTTTCAGTGACTTCTCTTGCTTTCTCCACTAGAGGGATGCAATTAAAATAATTTTATTGAGGCATGGAGATGCAAAAGGCAAATTATGTTTCCTGGAGCAAGGAGACACTGAAAAAATCAAGTAGTAAATAGAGATGTCATTATTTTAAGGCAAGATTTCATTTAATGGGGCCCTAGATTTCCTGGAATAAGAATTCTGTTCCTCTGCTCATGTTTCCAAGTGAACTGCCAGCAGAGAGAGCATTTTGCCCAAATACCATTTCTGCTGGATTTATAAACCTCCACTGAAGATTAAGCCTCATTTCGGAGCATACTGCTGTCATCTGAGGCTGTAAAGATCAATGGTAGTACTGACGCTGACAAAGCTGACCTCAAAGTCCTGAGATTCAACATGGGAAGGGCTGTAAGAATACAGATCACCTGGGGTGACTGTGAAAATTATCCAAGCTGACAGTAAACAAGCGTGTGGGTAAATGGATTTTTACCCTCTCTCTGAAACTTGTTTTACTCTTTGAAATGAAATCGGTCATGAGATCAGATAAAAAGATTGGATACTTTAAACATGCGGATGTTTGGCTCATCAGTTTTAGAGTCTAAAAACTGCTGATCAACAACCGTATTTATGGAATGGAAACTAACCTGGCGTAGCTATAAGTTATGAAACAAGACTATTTATATAATACACAAAAAACCACAGTGACGAAAAACAGATTCTTACTATGACTAAGTCAATCACCAAAGTCCATCTCTTGTATATCCTTGTGAAGCACCCAGCTCCTGGAGATAGCAGTCACAGGTGAGATGAAACTAACTGTACCAATAACAGCCCTATTAGTGTTGCTGAGGTATAGATGAAATAAAACCAGCTCCTACACACACTGCACGTCCTCACGTCTGTAACAACATCCTTTCACAAAGAAGTCAAAGTGGCAGGAATAGGACTTACCATCAACAACACCCTCCTGAAGAGGTCCAGATCCACTGCCTCCGTGAGCAGGTGAATGCTGGTAACATCTGCCCCACCACGGTCAGCTCCTAAAGAAACCCGGCTTGGATCTCCCCCAAAACTAGCGATGTTCTGCTGCACCCACTTCAAAGCGGCCAATTGATCCAAAAGGCCGGCGTTTCCACTCGCCTCAGGAGAACCTGTTGTGGAAAATAAACAAATAGGTTGGAAAAGAAATAAAACTACAAACATTTGAAGTTTTGATTACATGTTAAATTTTTTAGCAGGTCTTGCAGCTGAACCTTGACAAAACTGACACCAGAGCTTAAAAGCCTGAAGTGCTCTCTTCCAAAGTCATCACTATATTAATAGACTCCATTTCAGTTTTTACCACACCAAGAATTTAAAAGAGCTAGTATTTAGTGCTATAGTTATCATATATGCTTACTGATTAAGCCTCCAAAATAATAAGCTATTTTGTACAACTTCCCTATCCAAACAACCAAAATTTTCATATTATAAGCGTGATGCAAGCCAGAGTAAAGGACTCTGTGGTCTCTATCTGCAAAAAATATTCTGCACTCACACTTGGAGTAGGATGCAACTAAGAGTAATTAAACATTATTCTGTTTAATTTTCAGTGCTTTCAAAAACATCTGATCATCTCTTTCTCTAGATACCATTCCACAGGAGCTGTTCATCCAAGCCCCATAAGACAGTGCTAGTTTATTTCATTATAAGACCAGAGCAAGTTAATAAAAATAATAAGAAATGACAGTTCATAGAAAGTTAATATAATTAGTTGTTCTTCAGCTGCATCCTTGGAGATGCCTAATTGTCTGTCCTGATTATGGAAAAACAACACTCCAACTTCTAAGCTTCATTTGGACACCACATGAATTCAGGCTCAATTATCCAGAAATTGAAACTGTAAGATTCTTTTTCTATGTAAGTATCTTGATCTTAAAATGAATTAAAAGCAAATAAAAAAATAATTAGCGTGTTTGCCAAATTTAATTGACTGTTTCCCTGGAGTACACCTAATTGCATCTTTCAGCTTCCTAGATCCATTTTACACCTACCTGTCTGAGTCACACCAGCTTGCATTCCTCTACGCATGTGCAGATATTATTTTATAATTTATAATATATAAATTTATATCCTTTGAAGCTGACCTATGTCTAACTGATACAGATCTGAATTATATGTATTCATAGTTTTGTTCCCAAAAAAAACCAAAAGAAAAATAATTAATCATGTTATCATAATAAGTTATGCTTAATTATCACCGCTGAAAAGACTACTTCCTTTTCAACAACAACCAGTCCTAACCTGATACTTTGATTGATAGGAAATTAAAGCTGAAAGCATCTAATTATGCAGCCCCCAGGCAATCTTAATTTTATATCAACGAAAGCAGAAATTAGTAATTCCTACATAGTCCCTAAGACAGAAATAGAAAATTATTATTCACTGTCTACTTTTTTAATTCACAATGAGCCATTCATTTTTAATGATTTTAAATTCTCCACAGTCAAAACTTGGGGGAAAAAAAACCAAACAAACAACCAAAAATCCCCAGACATCACAGAAAAGTCAGGAATAGAAACACAGCTGAGACTACTTGTTTCTTCCATTGGCAAGACCAAATAGTACACTTTTAAAGTAAGGGTAGACTCAGAAACGAGAGAATCAAAAGGAATAGATGATGGAATAAAAAGCTGCCACTTGGTGGACAAGTAGCCCTGTCTCAGGCAAAGAGCGATTGAAAGCATCCATCCTGTAGTAGATATCCCCATGAATGATATTCCCTCAAGAAATTACTGAGATATCGTAAGACCAATTTCAGCAGCAGAATACAATATAGAAGACAGCAGACTATTGACAGCTTTGCAGGTCTCACAGACACCCACATCACAACAGCCATCGCTATAGGTGACCTTTCAGTAGGACAGCTGCCAAGCTACACTGGTGAAGCAGTAGAGGAGAAAACTTGCTCTGCTTTAGTTTTTTGGGGTCTTTTGGTTTGTTCTGCACACCATGACCAGTTTCCAGGGTTCCCAATTCAGCAATAAATCCACTCTATGCTGTTAAAAATGAAACCTCATTTCAAGGGTTTGCTTTGTACCTCATGAGAACTGCCCAGAGGAAGTGAAATCCATGTAAATGTTTCAGCCACACAATGTACCTCACTACCGGTATACTAAAAAACAAGAGCAAGGAGGGAAATACAACCAGTTCCTTCTGCCCTGGCAAAAACCATGGCCAGGTTGTGAAAGGTACCAAATTGGGGAACAAACACATTCACAGTAGTAAGACAAAGAGAAACATGTCTGCCAGGAATCTTTTTCACTGCTTGAGTGATAGGCCTGGATATAAATCTCATAAGCAAACTTTTTGCAGGAAAAGGTCACATTCCTGGGGACCATGGGAGACTGAAAATAGTGTCCAGAAGGAAGAGAACAATGACAAACATGTGCATTTCTGTTATTACTAAATTGAAGAAGAACAATAGTGCTAAATTTAAGCATGGAAATCAGCCTGGTTTATATGACTTCATGGACTCTTCAAAGAATCAGGCCTAAAAACACGACTGTCTTCTTCCTACTCCTGCCATGCATATAACTGGAAATTCACCTTAACTTTCTGGGTGCAAAGCAAGAGGTGAAGGCACTTTTATGAATGCGCATCACTTTTTGCAACATTAATGGGTGACCACAAATTAAACATCCTGTATACTTAGAAGAATAAGAGCTCCTTCACTGCTTGCAAAAGAAAAAAAAACACCAAACAACAAAAACAAAAAAAGGAAATCTGTTGCTCTCACTACATTTCCTCCCCCAAAATCTTCATTTAATATCTTCATTTCTAATTTTGCAATTTGAAACAAGTCAATGTGAGAGGATTCAGCACTTCACTTAGTTGGAGAATGAAACTGGTATTGCTTACAGGATCATAATTTTTGTTTGTAACTTCACAGCTTCCTAACAGTCCTACTGCTAATGTCCCCACAGTCTAAAGGGTGAGCTCCTGCCCCCTTTGAAATCGATGGCAAAACTTCCAAAGGACCAGAATTTGTCCAAGTCTTTCAGTAAGAATAGAAACACCCCTGGAATATCCAATTCCCTCTGGAGCAACAGGACTTTCTCAAATGCACACTAAGGATTTCCCACAGAGGAAGAGGCCAGGAAACACTGTGCTTTTCCCTGGCTGCAGCTCCACAGTACAGAGAAAGAGAGGGCACCCAAAGACTCCCTACTCATAATGTACCACCTCTATTTGAAGGTTGCAGGGATGCCAATTCGGTACATTCAGCTCATGCACTGTCGTTACGGGACACGTGTGCAGATCTCCATGAAAAACAGGCTGGATCCTGATCCCTAAATTATGGGCCATCATAGAAATACTGCTATATAACACTCAGCCCAGCTAGCAGTTTCCACTTAGGAAGAAACCTAGGTGAGATTCACAGGGCTGAAGGAGGTTGGTGGGTAACGCGTGGGCAGTGCTGCGTAATGGAAGCCTGTGCAGCCTGTATCCACGCTGCTTTTGGCTCTTGCCAAAATGCAGCCACGGTCTCACTTTCATAAGCAGTTGGCAGTGATGAAAACAGTGATTCTTTCCCCAGATACATCTATTACCAACTTCTTATCTAAATGAGTAAGGAGTCTGTAGTGCCAGCTCTCTAGTTATTAAAGAAAAACAGGCTTTGCTGGGAGCGAGCTTTGAACAAAACAGTAAAACAGAGAAGGGAAACAATACCCAATAGCTGCAGCTATAAACCCAAACTAGGTAAAATCCAGCATTACTAGCAGTAAATACTCAAAAGAATCATGAGGCAATGTATGTATGTCTGGTATTTGCAAACATGGCAAATAACCTCCTGAAGTTTATAAAGGTACTAAAATGTCAACAAGAAAAACCAAGGATTGCCACCGGATCGATGGAGCCAGAGGTCCACTTGCAATCACTGGATTTTCTCTTCATGGCTCATTCCCTGAAGATCCCCTGCCCCAGCCAGAACTGAAGTATGGTAGAAAGAAAAGTGTTCTTTACTTGCTTGAATAGGCAAATCTAATAAAAGGCAAAATGAAAAAAAACAACAACTCCAAAGAACAGATGGCACTACCACAAAGGTTTAGGGAGATGTGGATGTGAGTTTTCATGTGTATGTGTCTCTTGGCACAAATTAAAATTCTGTATGTAATGGGAATTTGTATAATTCTTAACAGCATTTAGTATTAGGGGGCAATAGGAGAGCAAAAGCATTCTTTCCATCAGCATATGAGGAAGGGATGCTAGCAGAGAACATGTGAACAAGCACTCAAGTCCAGGACAGTAAAAGGGGCTAACAGAACTCAAATTAAACATGTCATGTCCTTCAGAGGAGAAGTCAGGCTGAATCACTGAGGAACCAACCAACTCTCTTTGTGCTGCCCTTTCCATACTTTCATGCCTTTCTTACCATTAACTTGCAGTTATCCCCGTCTACCTCTTCCCCACTCCAACATGGGCACAATTGAACAATAGGAAAATTTCATGGATGGAACAGCTGGAAGTTGGAAGACATTGAAAACCACATCTACAATGACAGGCCACTGAAATTAGCAGGAATTTTAATGCTTAACCTATTTTCTTGTGTGTCTGCAAAACCCAATATCCACAGTTTCATCTGCAAACAGAGTTCTAGGCAGTGCTTTTGACATAGATGCTTGGGTTTTGTTTGTTCTTATCCCTTTGCCTCCAGCCTCTTCCCTTTCTCTTCAGATCAAGTCCCCATCATTTCTTGGCCATTTTTCCCAAAAAGACAATGAAGGACACAGGTTTCTCAAATTTAAAATTAAATTACCTTTTTTCCCCCCTTTTTTAAAAATTACAAACAGAAGTGTTACAGAATGCAATTTAGCCCATAGCTGTGTTCCAGAAATCCATGACTTACCAGTACTAAGGAAGCCAAAAACACCAACTCGGTAGTGTGCTGTCACGACAATGACATTACTGACGGCAGCTAGGTATGATCCATCTATAGTCGTCTTTCCTGTCTCAGCATTGTAACTCCCTCCATTGTGGAAGAACAGCAGCACTGACATATTTTTGACCTGCCATGACAACAACCAGGTTAATATTCCTGTAGCCAACTGCTTTTGTAGGTCGCTGACAAGAACACAAGCATCTTCCTCAAAAACTGATGGTGTGTCTTAGCTGGTGAAGGGTCTGGAGAACAAGCCTTATAAGGAGCGGCTGAGGGAGCTGGGGTTGTTTAGTTTGGAGAAGAGGAGGCTGAGGGGAGACCTTGTTGCTGTCTACAACTACCTGAAAGGAGAGTGTAGTGAGGTGGGAGTCAGCCTCTTCTTCCATGTAATGAGGGATAGGACAAGAGGAAATGGCCTCAAGTTGTGCCAGGAGAGGTTGAGATTGGATATTAAGAAAAAATTCTGTACTGTAAGGGTTGTCAAGCACTGCAACAGACTGCCCAGGGAGGTGGTGGAGTCACCATCCCTGGAGGTGTTCAAGAAGCGTGTGGATGTGGCACTTCAAGATATGGTTTAGTGGGCATGGTGGTGTTACACTGATGGTTGGACTCGATGATCTTAGAGGTCTCTTCCAACCTTAATGATTCTATGATTCTATGATTTAACATTATCTAAGCCACTCATAGCTCTTTAACAGCGACCATCATGAGGGGATATGTGGCCATCTGTCTGAAATTCTAGGGCTAAATTGTCCACAATGACCATTAAGGAGGACACTAAGTCCAGTATAAAGAAGATTTAATGTGACTATTGTGTACTACCAGCCAACAACTCTACCAGGTTAGCTCAAGGCAGACCCATCCTGCTGACTTGGCCATCGAGTGTGTGGTGGGCTTATCTTTGGTGTACCATGTCTGCTTTACAAAAACACGCAGGAAAAGTTCCAACAAGTGGGAAACAGAGAAAGGAGGAGGCTTGTTGGGTTGCTCCATCTTGACAGGACTAACTCAATATCTGTGCAGGGCTGCTTCCTACTCTTCAGTCTTCAACACCTAAACACCACCTAGCCTAAAAAAATCTCATTTGAAAAAAGCTCCTCCTTTCCCCTTCACCCTCCATGGAGGTTATCCCCTTCCAGATATAGAGGGGTCTCATCACGGGAGACACTCACCTCATGAAACACAGAGGGGATCTGTCCCAGAAGAGTCCAGGAGGACTCCTGTCATGGGAAGGAGCTATGATAGGCTGCTGCCCATGTTAGCACTCCTTGCAGAGCCACCCAATTTTGCTCAGAAACAGAGGTTTTTTTCCCAAAGTAGCACCTAATCTGTGCGGACCCTCTCTGCACATGCAGCAGAGCTGCAGCCAGGTTGCTGCTGCATGAGCAGCAGAAAAGCAGAACTGCCCCAGCAGAGCTCAGCATTTACCAGCAGATTGCAGCTCTGTCAAGATGACACTTGGAAGAAATACCAAGGAAACATATGGAGGGGTTTTGTTTAGTTTTTTTTCCCTTTTTTCTTTTTTTCTTCCTGCTGCAAAAAGCAGAATAACCTGCTCCAGTGCTAAAAAGATTTTTTCAAAGTGTAACCTCAATTTTCATCCCTTCTTGATCCCCACTTTCATCCCCTATCGCCCATTTGGGGACCATCCTGAAGGAGTCTCCTCTCTCCTCTGCTCAGCACCGGGTCATGCACACCCACCCATCCCAATTTCTGCTTTGGCAACTGCTAGTGTTTTTCAAAGAAGGGCTGGTGGCTCCTGCAGCAGCATCAAAGCACATCTTAGGTTTGTTTTTCCCTGCAGCTAGAGGGCATTGGGCTCTGTTGCTGTTAATTTCTGGATAGAGCTTAGCTAAACACAGCACTTCCATCTGCTCTGGCAAAGGATGTCTCCGGCAAAAATGCGACCGGCTGTACAGGAGAAGCAGCAGGAAAGTGATGGTTGCAGCCTCCTGCAAAATTACAGGATAGGAGGCAAAATGCCCTCAGCTGCACTCCTTACTTATCTAGCTGGAGAATCATTTCACAAGCTTCTCATGAACACGACAACGTTACCCAGAAAACCCCAGAAACTGCAAGCACTGAAACAGGCTGCTCGCTCTCAGGAACTTCTGCTCCTGAATAGAAATTGTCTCATTCACAGTGCCTTGTCCCTGGTTCCCATTTCTGCACCGCATGCAGCACAGAGAGAGAGATGGGAGCAAAGAAAAAAAAAAAGAAAAGAATCTGGTTTTAACATGGAAGTTCATATTAAAATGCAACCACATCAAGCCATGTCAACTAAAATGATATTAAACATGATGCTAAGCCTGCTGTGTCCCCTCAGCTCAGCATGGTGAAACTGGAGGTTCCAACCAGGCATTTCCCACATGTCAACAGCCTGCATAGCACCATCACCTCCACCCATAAGTTGTATATTACATTATGCTGAGTGGCTTTACCCAATGCTCTAGTGATGAAAAGCTTAAGAAAAACAAAGATGGGAGATAGAAGTTAAAAACTGCAAAACAAAGCCTGCTGCAACAGATAGGGATCAATTCAGGAGGAAGATTTAGCACCAGGGCTGTGTCTAGTGCCATGAGTCTGGAGGTAGCATTCCCATTTCTAGTCTGCATCGAGCAATGATAGATCGTTCTCCTATGTAAAAGTAAACTATCATGAAAAAATTTGGGGTTTAATCCCAAGGGATTTCAACCTAGGAGCTCATGGACTTGGGTATTTCAGATGAGGGCTGTTTAACATAATTGCTTTCTCACTTCTTGTTAGCTATTTCAACAGCATAGTGCAACTATTTTTGTGATGTAATTGAACCATGCCTCACAATATGAGAGATTTCATATCACTTATCTATCTATATATATTTGGTAGCAAATTATTTTTTTTACTCTACATTAGCTGTTGGATAATTTATTTTTGAATATAAGTGAATTTGCCTTGTTCTCAACCAAATTCAACCAACCATTGCAATTAAATGTGTGAGGCAGGATAAATACAAGACTTTAACTAAAGCCAGTCTCTTCACCCACCACCACGTGGTTCCAGGCTGAGATGCAGCTAGATGCTTTGCTAGTGTGACAGGTGGCAATGGTTACCGGTGGAAAAAAGTCTCTCAGAAGTGCCAGTTTTATTTGGAGGATTATGTGGTACACGTAGCTATGGAGGCAAAATGAGGTGATGTCATTCACCTTCTTCACTGCTTCACACTTAAAGAGTCCTTTGGTGGCAGGCAGCTGTCCCTGCTCCATGCTTTTGTTCAGGGTCAAAATGCTCCTGAATGACCTCTGCATTCACTGCTTTCCAGGAGGTTTTATATTCAGTATTTACTAGTTAATTTAACTTTCCATGGGCTGAAAATATATAACTATAGCTCTCTGTATACGAGTAAAAAATAGACCTTGCCACAAAAAGAAACAGGAAAATGCTATGCCTTTTGCTCCCAGCTACTTCTGCAAAAACAGAAGTTTTGGTTCTCTCTTGGGCTAGACTTACACATGTGAAACTGACTGACTTCACCAGACCTACTTCTACCTTACACCTCTACAAAAACCAGGATGGATTCAGTTCTCAGTACCGCTAAAGAGAAAAGACAAGCCAGTTTAGTCTATCAGATGGTAGAAAATACAATGCTTGCAAATAAGCTATCTTGAAAGAAGCATTTCGGCGAAGATGGCAAACTGCCTGGGACAGTAACCTGATGTTTTCAATAAGCGATGAATGCACTCAAGGCAAAATGACTGGTGTTGCAGGGAGAAAACAGACTGCCCGTCTTTCTGGTGATTAAAAGGACCTGGAAGGAACTGTGTGTGCTGCTGTCAGATAGCTAGACCAGCTCTTGCCAGATATGCAGTATGACAGACTCATAAATTCGTATTATAACCACTGTCACCTTCTGAAAATTGACAGCACTGTGGAAAGAAAAATTCTGTTTCTGTGCTTTGTGCCCATTCTCCAATGGGATTCACATGTTATTCAGCATTCTTATCCCCAGCTCTCCAGGGGTTTGGCCAATCGTCTAAGTCTGGCTTTAACTTGAAGCATTATTTCATATCTGTTTAGAATGAGAAATCCAAGAGCTTTCAAATGCCAGTTTCTCAGATTGTACCACTGGCTTAGTCATCTTTAAAAGGTCTATTTTTGTACTCTGCGAGCTGGGCACAAATCTAGCATTGCTTGCCACCCTCAATCCTCAACAGAGTTCCCATGGGTGCCAACAGGGGAACAGTAAAGATGAAGGTGAAAAAAACCCATCTGCTACTGCTCGACTGGTAAGTGTTGATGTGATGTGTTGTGTTGCGTTATCGTCTCCTGAACAAATGGTCTCATTTCAAGGATATTGCCTTAATTTCTCCTCCTTTGCTGCCACCTTCTTGTGCTTCGTTTCCCTCTCTCTCTCTTTTATTTCTAGCTTTCTAATTTGCTGCCCTCCTATAGTTATCCAAACATGGCTCATTGAAAGCCTGTAGGAAATACTCTTGCACCAGTAAAAACAACAGAATCCCTAATTTAACCTTGCAGGGCTTTGTGAACACCCCATGTCAATTAAAAGTATAGAATCACAGAATTTTTATGGTTGGAAAAGACCTTTAAGATCATCAAGTCAAAACATTAACTCTACCATGCCCACTTCTACACCACACCCCTGAGCACCATATCTAGATGGCTTTTAAACACATCCAAGGATGGTGATTCCACCACGTCCCTGGGTAGCCTGTTTCAGTGCTTGATAACACTTTCAGTGTAAAAGTTTTTTCCTAATACCTCCTCTGGCATAACTTGATGCCATTTCCTCTTGTCCTGTTAGTTGTAATCTGTGAGAAGAGACCAACACCTACCTCTCTGCAACCTCCTGTCAGGTAGTTGTAGGGAGCGATAAGGTCTTCCCTCAGGCTCCTTTTCTTCAGACTAAACAACCCCAAGCCCCTCAAGCGCTCCTCATAAGACTTCTCAAGACCCTTCACCAGCTTTGTTGCCCTTTGTCCTTTGAAAAGAGACAGTGCTCAGCCACAAAAAAAAAATAATTCATCTCTTACAGTGGTGGCAGGAACAAAGATGTTCAGATATAGGCAGTCTTCACTGACAGCGTATGATGGGGCCTCTCCATCTCCTGGCTGCCAACAAGCTGCCCTA